TTTTAAATAATGAAAAATTTAGAAAAAATTAATCCAAAGACAAGTTACACAGGGTTGATTGCAAATGTATTAGGAGAGGAGTCAGCTTTGAAATAGAACAATTAATATGAGAAATGCCACCATTGCATTAATAAGACATTTTAAGAAGAAACAAATAAACCTCTTCTTGCTACTTCGTCTAACTTGCCACTTCTGCTGTGGCCATCTGGCTGTGTGTGCGCACCAGTAAAGAGGTACCATAATGCAGAAAGATTCATAAAAGTCTAGTACATTTGTGTTTTTTCATTATTTTTTTTGAAAAGAAATTTCATTAAAATGAAAATACATCTCTGTTCGAATTACAAACTTCTATTTACGTTTTAGGCTTTTTCGAAATACGTCTCCAGCAGAAATAATGACACTACAGGCCCCTTTTTGGACAGATCCAACAAACATTTAAGACAATTGTTTAATCACGCACGAATATTTCACTGGTTCAATCAGCAATTATCAAAGGAGACTGAGGAGAAAAATAGAACGGAGGTTAACATGAAGGATGATATAAATTCGTATGTCCAAAGATTCGATTTGGTTCACGATACCGAACTTGATGAAGACTTCAGAAATCGTATTAAGAAGTCCTACTTAACATTTGATCAAAGAGAGTTATTTAGAAAGTGGCATGGGAGATATATGAAAAAAAGGCTAAGGGAACTTATAGCACCGGTGTGTTCCGGCATCCTTATTATGTAAGTTCCACTTCTCTGTTTAGGAGACGGGTCTATCTCGACTCCGTCTCTCTTGGGTTTCCCAGGCGGTTTACCTCTTATGCAGATGTTTAATAGAATTCTATGAGAAAAAATCTTGTAGAGATCAGTAATTCTTTATGAAAAATATTTCCGAGGGGGTAAAGGAAGAAATAAAGCAGTTTTGGTGGGTTCGCTGCATCAACATGATGCTCATCTGATTCCTGCTATTTTGCATATACTTTTAGACTGCAGGAAAACAGCATGGAATACTACCACACTCTTGCTTATTTTAGGAATAACATTCGACAAAATCATTCCATTTTGGTTTTCCTGTTGTTCTGCATTCTTTCCTGCATTTCCCGCTGCGTCTTATTTTCACAATAGTTGACTTTTTCATATAAAAATTTGCCCATGTGGTGATGAATTTTTCTCCATAAGACATAAGATGCGAACAAAATACACATATAGATCTTACATACAAGACAAGGAACGTCTCATGTAAAAAGTAAGATAATGAAATAAAAGATATTGACTGCTCAGGTAACAATTTTCGTCTATTGTACCGTTTCGTACATCATCCCCTCCGTTTTGATGCGACAATAAGGATGCTCTAAGTACAAATAAACGTTTACTAGGGTCTTATTATAAAAATTAGCAATTATCCTAATTTGAAAT